ATGAAGGTCTAGGAGTGCCAAGGTTAGGCACCCAAGGAGATCGACCACCCCTCCTCAAAGAGTACGTTAAGCTTTTGGTGGTCTGCCTGAAGATGACATCAGTTCTCCCAAAAATCTTACAGGCGAAAATGACGGGCATGTCCCTAACGTAAGCCTGCCAAGCGTAGGCAAGGCTAAACCTGTGCTGAACCGTAACAAGAGGGCCATTGCCACGTCACATGACACGAATGACCACTATTACTCACGTGGACAGTAACACAAAGACCACTCTATAACGCATGCAGATAAGGGACCCGTGTCGGATACTAAATGGGAAGGAGAGGATGGTCGATTTACGTAGAGAAACGACGAAGACGAACGTTATTTGTTATTCTTTTAATGGGTAAATTTCTAAAACCAGCTTTAAGTTGCTGATTATTGCTGAAACCTCCCCCGAGGTTTGGTAAATGCAATCAAACTCCTTTGAATTTTTTGAAGCATTTGCAAATATATACTCTCTTGTTAAAATATTCTAATAATAAGCACAAAAAATGTCCAAAATACCTATGAGGCTAATTTATACAGAGAAAACAATACAAACTTTATGAACAACCAAAAAAAAGTTAGCTCTACCTTTTAGTGATTCATATGAAAGAAAAATAAAAAATAAATCAATTTTGGAAAAAAGATTGACAAGATTTAAGAAATAAGATTGATATAAAGAGAAATTTTGAAAAATAAACATTTTGGTGGGCCCACTCCAGTTTTATAGGGAGACATAGGATGTGGGATCAAGTTGGTAGGGTGTTGGAACTTGTTTTGTTTGCAGGTGATCCCAACTCATTTTCATATCTCTTGCTAGTGGATTCTAACATGAAGGGTCTGCTTGCAACTGTATTAGAAAATTTAAGGTGACGTTTGGAAATGTGGTTGTTTATTCACTAAATGCTAGCACAGAGGTGCCACTTCAGTGTTTCCCTTATTATATGGATCCCTATGCATAAAGACTTGTGAAAGCGAGTATTGATTTATGTGCACATCTACCATTGAAGGAAGCTTCATTTTAGTGTTTCCCCCCCAACGGGTAAGCATTTATTCATTATTTTGATGATGTGGTGCTTAATGGTGCCTAGTGACACTTAAATGTTAATAAACACATTCGTTATTGATTTTCTCAGTTTTGAAAATAATTTAACTTTTTACAAAAACCAAAGTTAATTTTTTTCATTTTTGATGCATAGAAAGAGAGAGACAATGTTGAAGTGGTGCCTATGTGTCACCGTCAATAAACGAATAAACTTAAACGAACCAAACACGCACATAGTAAGAGATGTTTCAGCAAAATAAGAAGGTTTTAGCAATCTTACCCATTTTTTAATTGATGCCGGGAGAAAACAATGAAATGACACTTTTGACCTTTGGTCCCCACTGACACGGTTGGAGAATGGAGAAGGACGGAAATATTGGGTTTTCTACGGTGTTACGTATGGACAATTTCAGTACTCCTGGGTGGGTCCAGAATACTTCCGTTCATTGTGGATAATCAAATGATCCGAGCCGTTCACTAGCCGTCAACGTGTATGATTAGCCGGGCTACCATTTACAATGATTGGAAGATGATAATGCTTGGTGCTGTGAAGGAAAACAGTGGGTAACCCATCAAATGAGCCAGCTCGGACGACACCTTTTCTGTCGACTGGCTGACACACATACACACATACATAGGGTTATAATCTCGTATTTACATCATACCGTTAAGACTTAAGAGAGAGATAGGAGTCATATGACTGATCAGTCCAATTCAAAATTTTTTAATTTCAAGGATAAATCTTACCACGGATTGATGCCAAACCAATTCTGCATTGGGCTACAATGTATTTATAATATCGTATCCATTGTGCGTTTTTATTTTTTATTTGTTTAAATTAATGCACGTATGGGCTTAATTCCTGTTTAGACTTGGTGTTACACACAAGTCTAGCTCCATGGTCCACCTCAGTCGTCTACCCTCCTCGTGATTCGTGATTAATTTTTGTTCTTTTCTTACATATAATTAATTATAAAAAAAGCTAAAATTGCTGAAATGTGATATGGTTGGTTGGGGTGGTTGACCTTATTCACGTAACCATCGGTGGCATGGCCAATGTCCACGTAAGCAAGTGGATCGGCTAAACAAGGTAGTTGACTACTGATTAGTATTAGAGAAGCACTTGGAAAAGTTAAGTAGGG